AAAAAAAAAAAAAAAAAAAAAATTCACCTTTTGTATATGCTCTGGGGTGTCGTTCTGAGTTGAGGCATGGCCAGCCATTGCGTCTCTTCCCTGCGCCATTTTATTTAATATAAATTAAATTAATTTATTTAATTTATTTAATTTATTTATTCTTTGCTTGATACTTCCGCTGCTGCTTATCTGTCTGTACAGCTGGTAGCACCTGCTGCCTGCAGGGGTATTTAATATTATTAAACGCAGAAAATAAAGTATTGAATTAAACTCTCTCTGGCTCTCAGTTACAACCCTGAGAGAGAAAGAGAGAGAGAGAGAAAGAGAGAGAGGAGAGGGGCCCCCTGCAGCAGAAGTAGAAGTGCTGCGGCAGCAGCACTGCAACGACAGCAGGAAGCAGCTTGATGCGGATGTGCTGGCTCTGTAGAGCAGAAAAGTACAGCAAATACAGGCGGAGCTGCTGGTGCTGCTGCTGCTGTTGCTGCTGCTGCTGTTGCTGCTGCTGCTGCTGCTGTTGCTGCTGCGGGGATATCGTGTATTAGGCTGTGGCTTTGACTGCGGCGTATGTCCTTCTAATAACACCAATAAAAAGAAATGAATTTTGTTTTCTTTGTTTGAAACAGAAGACTCGTATTGAGTGTACTTCTACGCTGTCGCAAAGCTGCAAGGAAACAGCAGCCTGCAGCAGTGCCGCGCGTGCGGTAGGATATAAAGGATGCCTCTGTGTTTTTCTTTGTAGTTTCCGTCGTTTTATATTCTCTTTTCAAAAAGAAATTGAATATTTATTTAATTTATAAATCATTACTTTCCAGTATCATCTGCATTTAGGCGGCTAACTGCAGACGGCGGCCGCCCACACAGACCTCTCCGCCCACCCGCCCAGCCCAGGTGCTCTATAGGGGGGGGCCTGGGGAAGCTTGCGATAGACTTTCATGATATTTAATAAATATAATTTTAAAATTTAATGTATTTAAACTATAAAATACTAAAATTCAAAACAAACAAACACCGTCAACCCACAAACTCACAAACACCGCCCGTGCCCACTATATACTCCCCCCCCTAGCATCGCACCCTTCTTCTCCCCGTTCTGAAATTGTTTCAATAAACCATAAATATCAATTTAAATTGTTTACTAATTAAAAATTTAAATAAATTAAAAATAAATGATACAACTATGACGCCACAAATACCCCGATCGCTTTCCTTATTCAGATGCTGTGCGGGGCCACACCTCCACTGAAATTCATGTAACGATCTTTTGCTCAATGATTAAGTATCTATCAACAAAAAAACTTTTTTATAATGTCTATATAATTATTTATATTTGTATATATATTTAGCTTTAGTACGCGGGCATATGAAGAAATATTCACCCACAAACTGATCTAGAAACTACTGCTGATACTATACTCATATATATTATATTATACTATACTATACTATACTATACTATACTATACTATACTATACTATACTATACTATACTATACTATACTATACTATACTATATACTATACTATACTATATACTATACTATACTATATACTATACTATACTATATACTATACTATACTATACTATATACTATACTATACTATATACTATACTATACAATACAATACTATACTCTCACAGCAACAAACTCTATATGCTCTGCAGCTGCAGCTGATATATAGAAGGTGAGGCCCAAGTAGTAAATTTAAAGCGTAATTCAACATTTGTCTGATGACACTCAAATTTCTCGCCAGAAGCTTCTCCCCGGCTCGGTGTATAATATGCGGGGGCTCTGATGCATTTGTTGTGTATTTATATTATTGAAAAGAGAGCAACACCACCCCAGCAACAACAACGGCAGAAGAAGAAAACGTAAACAAACACACACGATATACAGAAGAGGTTTCAAAGGCTCGTGAATTTCGTCTTTACTTCCCACTGCCTCAACTCCCAAGAACATAACAGGCCAGCTATGTGCTACAGCCTCAGCAGGCCTAGACCTCAACGGAGCCTCTTGCTCCGTCTCAGCATCCATAGAAAGTAAACACCCAGCAGCAGCAGCAGCAGCAGCAGCAGCAGCAGCAGCAGCAGCACAGCAATCCTTTGCTTTTCAACAAGGAGGAGCTAGGTGAGTTTGTTTACATGGATATGCCTAGCGAGAGACGCTGCGGTGCCCCTCAAGCAATAGGAATGTTACGACGAGGGCTCCGCAGCGATGCAAAGAATTTTTCCTCCCCTGTTGCTGCATACACAACGCGATGCTGCTGCTGCTGCTGCTGCTGCAGCTGCTGCAGCTGCTGCAGCTGCTGTATTTTCTTCATTGGTTGATGTACTGAGAAGCATCAATTGTTGCTGGCATCTCCGGAATGTGAACTTCGAAACGCGTCTGTACATCGTTCAACACGTTCGTGTCCTCCTGGCTTGCTACGAAGGTCACCGCCAGCCCCTTGGTGCCGAAGCGGCCAGCGCGGCCAACCCTGAACAAGAAAAAAAGCAACAATAAACCAGTTTTACACCCCAAAACAAGCAAATAACGCCTCTTTCGAGAGAGAATTTCATGCAGAAACAGGCCCATATATATATATATATATATATATATATATATATATATATATATATATATACAGATGCAAGGGAGAAGAAAGCTGGCTGTCTACCTGTGGAGGTATGAGTCGCTGCTCTCGGGCATATCGTAGTTGACAACGATGTTTACGCGTTCAATATCAATTCCGCGTCCGAAGAGGTCCGTGGCGACCATAATACGCTTCTCGAAGTTTTTGAATTGCTGGTAGCGGCTGATCCTGAGAGGAGCATCGGCGCAGCATCATCCGGCAGAGAAAGCTAGAGAAAGCGAGAGAATACGGGTGAAAAAGAGAAAAATTTTTGAACAAATAACTCTTTATTTCCTTTTTTGTTCGTTTAAGAATAATTTTAAAACGAAATATTAATATTGTTTTTCATTCACCTTTCCTCCTGATCCAGTCCTGCATGAATGGCTATAGAGGGGAAGTTGCACTCGGTGAGCAGCTTGTTGAGTGCCTGAGCTCTCGAGACGGATTTCACGAAAATAATGACTTGATTAAACTCGAGAGAATCCAATAAATCATTTAGTCTGCGGTTTTTGTCTGCCTCCGCCAGCTTTACGTAATACTGCAACAAACCATGAAGCGTCAGCTTGCTCTCGTCGTCGATGAACACCTCCACTGGATTCTGCATAAACCTCTTGCAAACCGCGCGCATCTCCCTCCCCATCGTCGCCGAGAAGAACATGACTTGTCTGTCAGACGCAGCAGCAGCAACACGACCACCCCCAACTGCAGCACCAGCTGTTGCATCAGCAGCAGCAGCCGTAGCTGCTGCTGCAAGTGAAGCAGCCCAGCCGACCTAGATGCCCGGGGAGGGTTTTTTTGATTAGCGCAGCAGAAACGTTCATCATACACCTTAAGAATCGCAATAAAAAAAAAAAAAAANAAAAAAAAAAAAAAAGAGAGGAGTAGTGACACTGAATTGTGTAGGGTTTATCATGACTTGAACGCAGTAAAGTAAAGGGCATCAAATAGAGAACCATCAGCTGACTTTTTCTTTGGTGTAGAGACGAAAATAGACTGAACGTCTTTGCGCATATCCAGCTTCTCCAGACATTTATCGCATTCGTCTAGAACGAAATGAGCGATTTTACTGGGGTCAAGGTGTTTGCCTTTCAGCAGCGCGAGGACTCTGCCTGGGGTGCCGATGAGGATAGAAGGAACACGCTTGGGGTCAGCTAGCAGCTCGATATTCTTCTGTATGGGGACCCCGCCGTAGACAACTTCACACTTGACGTGTTTTAAATATTTGCTGAAACGCTCAAATTCGTTTTTTATCTGAAACGCTAACTCGCGTGTATGCGCAAGACCCAAACACATAACCCCAGGCACAGCAGCAGAGTCTGTTGATGATGCTGCTGCTGTTGCAGCAGATCCCTCGGTGGCCTCCCCACCAGTACGCTTTGTTGCAGCACCTGTACCTGCTGCTGCTGCTGAGTCTACGTTCAGCTGCTGCAGGATAGACAACACAAATACTGCTGTCTTCCCCATTCCACTCTTCGCCTGACACAGAATGTCTACACCCGTTATCGCGTGGGGGATCGTCTCGTGCTGCACTTCAGACGGATGCTCAAAGCCTGCAACATATAAAACAAACACAAAAAAAATATACACACAAAAATATATATAATACACACAAAAACATACAACACAACCACAAACAATATATATAACACCCACAAACATATACACACAAACTAAACACAGCTAAAGAAACTCGTCAAACAATAAAAACACAACAAAGTTAAGCATCAAGGAAACTAAAAACACGAATCATCAGCTGTACATACACCCAAACCACAGAAGAAATACTCGCTAGATCACTGACACGAACAAAACAAAACAAAAACAATAAAAAAGGAGCAGAAACACCAACTGATGTGAATGGAGGCCAGCAGCTGTATATGCACTTATATCCATGGGCACCCACAAACGTCTATACACCTCAGCGAAAATAAAATATAATAAACATCTACGTGCATACAACACCGCACTTGTTAGTATTTCTGTTTATAAGCTTTTTTATATAAACTTTTTTTTATATAATGTATTTACTATCAGTTTTTCTTACAAGTAGTTTTATTTATTATAATTTGTGTCTATATAATAAAATAAATAAAAAACACAACGCCACAGAAGAACTTGTACTAAATATAAAATAACTGTTTATATAACATTTATATTTATTTATATTTATATTTATTTATATTTATATTTATTTATATTTATATTTATTTATATTTATATTTATTTATGTTTATATTTGTTTATATTTATTTATATTTATTTATATTTATTCTATACATACCCGCATCACCAATAGCTCTCAGGAGCTCTGGCTTGAGGAAAAAATCGCGAAAGCCGCTGGCGTGGATAGAGACGTAGTTGCCGCGGCCTACAGCTTCCTCGCCCACACCCTTCTCCTGTATGCAAACCCTAAACCCTAAACCCTAAACCCTAAACCCTAGAAACCCAACAAAGAATCCATATCCTGAATACAGGAACAAACCTCACCAGAAACGGCTGCAGCAACCACCCAGCTGCCATCCAGCAGATAAAACAAAATCAAGGTACACGTACACCCCAAGAGATGAGATGAGGTGTACATACACCAGCGAAGAGGCGGTAATGGGGATATGCGTTCAGAAATAAAACAAAAGCCCGCAATGCCGCCTCATCGGAGGTGTATGTACACCCCAACCACTGGGGTCGCGTCTCCCCTCCATATACACCTCAGATATGCAGCCACTACTAACCCCGTAGGTTCTTGCTGCCGACGGAGCAGCGGCCACATGCTGAATACTTCTCGAAATATCACAAAGAAAACACATTTAAAACAAAAACAAACAAAGAAAACAACTGCTCCCGCCACGGACGCGGGCCGCTCAGTTTCTCCTGCATCGCGAGCGTCCTGGCTGAGCCCCCCATCCCGTTTGCAGTTCCGAGAAGACTAAATGCTGTAAATAATGCTTTTAAATGATTAAAATGAGGAAAAAGAGGCAAAAAAAAGGCAGAGGAGACCTAGTGGGGAGGCCAGGTACTGGCCGCGGGCGTTGCTGCAATGGGGCCCGCAGCAGGTGTTGTGGTTGCTTGCTGCTCTCGTTTTACCTTTTGGTCGTTTTGCTGTTCATCTTCCTCATAATCAACCAATTCGTCGGCGGGGTTTTGCTCGAGAGCCGCCATTTTCAACAGGGGAGGTGTCTGAGGAGGAGGTGCTGCTGCTGCTGCTGCTGCTGCTGCTGCTGCTGCTGCTGCCGCCGCGGTTGCTGCTGCCTCCTGCGACGAAGGGAAAGAAACAAGAAAGGCTAAAGTCTCTTCGCAGCGGTTTAAATTCAATTTCTGCTGCTGCTAAGGAATTAAATTTACAGAACGAACGAACAGATTCACCACAGTCAGACAGGGCCGCCCCGCATGCAGCAACGGCCGCTGCTGCGGTGTACATACAGCTCGTGCGTTGCAGGGAGTTGGTTTGTTGTATGTTTGCCGGCATGCATTTCATCTATTGCTTAATTCTTATACTTTTATAAAGCACTTGTTACATATACAGTGGCTATTCACTCCATAAGCAGTTAAAGCTACACCGACACCAGAACCCCCAATCCCCACACCCCATACAGCGGCTCCTCGATCGTCGCTGCGGAACACCGCAAGCTGCAGCAGAGTCAAAACACTTTTCAAAAGAATTACAAAAATACAGCTGATGGGTTCCCCCCCAGTTCCCAAAAGCGCTGGATACAGCGGCGCAGAGGCCTGGGGCTGGCGCGGAGAGGAGGGGCCTATCACGAGTATAGTACAGCTCAGTACACCTCATGCAAGATGAGCTGAAGGAGGCTTTGCTGCAACTTTTGCTGCAAGGCAACTTCGCATGCAACCATATCCATACACCTTCCGGTGTATGCGCTGACACTGTCAGCAAGTGCTGAAACACTTCACCCTCGGAAGGTAGCTTGCGCGCCAGTAGAAGCACTTGCACTCACTCCACGCGTATAGAGCTGCATGTAGTCACATTTCTATCGCCAAACATCTCACTGCTTCGTGTTACCAGGTGCCCCACTGGATATGGTTACACCGAGGGAGGGAATGCAAGGTGACCCGCATTTCCTTCCTCGGCGCCGGAGGCCAGAGAACGGGAAAGGAAGAGAAACACGAGGACGTGGCGGACGGAGAGCGGCGTCTGCTGTTGCTGTTCATTTTGCTTCTGCTGCTGGCAACTCAAATTCTTTACTGTTTTAGTGGAGCAGTGGCCACTCAACTGTTCATCAAGCCCGGCTCGTTGCGACGCGCGTGTGGTGGGACCCACTTTTCAATGCGGGTATCGTATCTAACTCAAAAGTACGCAGTGAACCGTTGCTGGCGCGGACAGTCGGTGAGCATGGGGGTAACAGGTTGAGCCAGTCAAGCAAAAGAAACCGATACCCCACAAATATGCGTCGAGGAGCTAGCCGGGCGTGGAGGGATGCGGATACAGCCCACCGAGAAGATAGTTGAAGCCGGAGGTCCGGAAGGTATAAAGATACGGATCTATCTACATAAATGAGGGACAGGCTCACAAGGAACGTTTACACATTGCTGCACTTTATGGCGTGTTGCGGGCGGACGGGATTAAAGCCACCGCCACCTTGTGGAACAGAGCGAGTGAATGCCCCTCATAGATTGTTTCGTGCAAGCGGTGCTCAGAAACCGACTCGAGTTCTCGATCACCTGGTCACTTGACGTAGTATTCTCGTTTTCTGCGGCCTATGCGTGTCGTTACCCGTACGCCCAGGATATCAACCCCCTCTAGTTGCTTCCTCCCCACTACCTTGGTGCTGCTTTGTGGGGAACTTTTGAAGAAATTTCGGTGGTCTGCCAGAAGGCTCTCAGCTTTCGCCTGACCCTGCATCTTGAATATGTGGTGTGCGTGGTGCTACTGAGCTTAACGCGAGTTCTCGAGGTTATCGGAGGACGATCGTGAGTTTCAGTGGGGTCGAAATACTTAGATGTTCTGGACGCAGCTGACCTCGACAGGCTCCAGCCGTCCTGGCTGCAGCAGCCTAAGGGCTTGGAGCTGGTGAGGAGAGGGGGATGCCGGCCATGAGTTGTAGCGCGCCTTACTACGGCTCGCGCTGCAAGGCAACGCCACGTACATCCATGCCCGAGTCCTTTCAGGAGCTTGCACCAATACTGTAGATAACTGCAAAACGCATACATGGCCGTCAGCCGCCAGCCTGCGAGCCAAAATAAGCACATAGAGCAACTTCAGGCATAGCATGCTACACACCCCATGCATTGGCGCTAGTGGTGAGACAGTGCAACTGTACATACGCATCGCCAAATATCATTTAGGTAATGAGTTCGCCTGACATGGGTGTAAAGCCTTCATATGTACGTTCACTAGCTAGGCCGGTGTTCCGTGTGGCCCGCGTCAGCCCCGCTGGTTTCCTGTCAGCTTTCCGGTCTCCGTACATATAAGATATTTGAATGGTGTAGCAACATTAATATATTATGAAGGCAGTCAATCCGCCCTCAATTTCGAAGGCTGCTGCCACGAAGAGGGGTACAGCAAGCCGGGCCCTGGAGAATGAACAAGTAGACGGATATGGTTTGCATACGTTTTGGTTGTGTGGTGGCGCTCATCGATGACTGCTGAGGAGCATTGGCGGCACCATTTGCATGCAGGTCACACGGACACCATGGAATCAGAACACAACGAGTAGGCTTGGCGGTATGATTTGCATCTAACCGCTGCGTTACGTGTGGCGCCACAGCGTGGAAAGCGGAGAACGAAGCAGCTAGCTGGAGAGGCTTTCTGTATGTGCTGTGAAGGACCTGTTGCTGCTGCTCTTGCAAATAGACGAGGGGTGATAGCAGAATAACTGAAGCAGAAGTGGAGGCCGGAGTTTTTCACTCCAATGACAGTAAAAGTTCTAGGGAGGAAGTAATGGGTATTTCAGCTGGCTTAGGGGCCGCTCGTTGCGGCAGTGGCGCGGCGAGCCCACCCAATAAATTAAGTTGGCTATTAAGCGGACAGATGGCGCTTGGGGTGTGACACACAGAAAACGGGCTAGCCGCCCGACAGCTAGCTAATTGAGAGCTAGCCAACCAGTATATAGCTAACTGACAGCTAGCTAACAGCGAGCTCGCTAGCCAGCAACTAGCCATCTGAGAGCTAGCCAGCCTAAAACGCCCGCCGCGGAGGAGTGACAGGCCTTCCTGAAAAGCTGTAGCTAGCTGCAGCCATCCGTCATTCCAACTGCACAGCTAGCTGAGGGGCTCACTACTACTCTGCATGCAGCAGGTTATAAAGTGTTATCAGAAACAAGATTATGAATAATTCTTTATGAATGCTTGCCACTAGGTGAGCGTGGAGGCTAAATACAGCGAGTCGCTGCTCCCACTGTACAGCTCGGCAGGGGGCTCACCCCTACTGTCTCAGCTGCTGATAAAGCAGCAACTGAATTCACATATATTTTATTTCTGCCTGCCTGTTGCATGCTACCCTTCCTTCAAGCCACGTATGTCTCGCCCGCGAGTTCGTTGCATGCGGGTGAAACCCTAAACCCTAAACCCTAAAACGTGAATTCCTAAACCCCAAATAAGACGACTACCTCTGCCTACACGTGTTAACCCGATATAGAAACACTGAACGGCAACTAAATAAACAAAAATAGCAATTGAGGTGTTTCTATACATCTTACAACAGTACTTGTTGCTTATAAAGATAGCCCTCTATGTGGGGGCCGCTAGGTTTAGGGTATAGAGTTGCACCGCGTGCAGCACAGGCGTGAATTACGTCTGCATGCTCAAAGCTAGTATTTCTGCTAGCGCTCAGGCAGCTGCCGTTTACTAGCATGTAGGGTTACCGTTGTATGCATGTGCAGGTGTACATACACCGGAGCATCAGCTGCTCTGTATGTGCAACGCATTGAAGGTAACTATATAATATTGCAAGTTGTATTCAGTGAAGATAGCCGTGAGGCAGTTGTCGCGCGGGCTGTCTCTGCAGAATGTTGAGGGGAAAGCGTTTAAGAAAATCAGAAATGGAGAAGAGTCTATATGCTAGTGCAGATGATAGCACCGAGCTGTAATGAGAAAGTTAGGGTTATGTATGTACATGTCAGGTGTACATACACCCGAAATTATTGCTGCTATATGATGAAACTTTCAGTCTATGCATTGCCAACCTCCACTTCACTTAAATAATCTTTTACTTCTGCGGGGCTGAGCACTCTGAATTTTCTATCTTCTCCTATAACACCGATCTCTATAGACTTCTCTGTCATTGCCCCCTCAAACCCTTCACGTAAAGTCAGAATTGCTGTGTGAATTGCATCTTCTAGCTCTATATCTGCGGTGTATCTGCAGGTATGTATACACAGGAAAGCAGCAACACATGCAAGCACCACAAACGTGAAACCTTAGAATAAACAAAAACTGAAATAATGCAAAAAAAAACATCATATTCGTCTTTATTTTAATTAAAAAGAGAATTCATAACAAAACAATCATCATATGCAGCAACATATACACACATACACCTAAACCCTAAACCCTAAACCCTAAACCCTGCATTTTGCTCTGTACAACAAACAAGAAACCCGAAACTACTTCTTTGGCATTTCAATGAAATTTTCTTCATTATTTCAGAAGAAAATAAAATTAAATATTTTAATTAATTAAAATATTTAATTTTCGTATGTACTTTTGTTCATACATTTGCATTCATTCGGTGTATTCAGATGTATATATTTTTTATTTTTTTTTGTTTACCTTTTTTCTAGAAATGTTTTTGCATTTTGCATATCGCGGCCAATGGCGGAGGCCTTCCAGCCAAAGTAAGCACCGCTGGGGTCCACTTGATACAGCTGCGGGCCGCAGTCATCGTACCTATTGAAAACACAAACACAGCAACATGCATGCATGCATGCATGCCTTATATGCATGCATGTATTCCATGGATGTATTCCATGCATGCATGCATGCATGCATGTATTCTATGCATGCATGCATGCATGTATTATAACTAGGATATATGTTTAACTAGAAAGCAAAGGTAAAAGAGAGGAAAAGGGAGAGCAGCACTGACCCCGCAACGAGCAGAGAAATTCCAAAGGGACGAACGCCCCCGCTTTGGGTGTATTCTTGCATGACGGAGGCCACCCCCTGCACCAGCTGGTTCGTCGGCATGGGTGTTTTATAATAAAGTTCATATGCAGCAGCCTGCATAGAAAAATACACACAAATACTCTACTCTTTCAGGGTTTATATATCGTCTAATATAAACCCTATGATATATATGTAATGATTACACTATACAACACGCATAAATGCTTCTTCTGTTGCTTCCTTTTCTGTGTTTCTCTCTGTGCTTTCTCCCCTTTTTCTTTCTCTCTGTCTCGCCCCCTTTGGCTCTGTCTGTGTTTCTGTTTCTGTTTTTCTTGTTTGCCTGTTTTCTGTTTCGTTTCTTTCTTTGTGTGTTTTTTCTCTCCTGCCTACGTGTTTGTGTCTGTTTCTGCTGCTTCTATCTCTGTTTCTGTTCCTTACAACCCCAGGATTAACGTTTAGCATTTCTATGGATTAGCGACAGAGAGCAGCCCGTAACTTAATGAATTTCTGTTGTGTGTACTGTGTGCAGAGTTTCTGTATGATTGAGGTGTATGCACAGTGGAGTGTATGCTCTGTAGATTTGTGGTTTGTGTTTTATCTCACTTCTTTTCGGCCTTTCTTTAATACAACTCTGAAATCAGCAGGCATTCCTGCATAGACGCAGCCGACGGATGGCGTGAAGATATCTACTTTGTTGATGGTTTCTGGTTCAAGAAGAGGAGTTGGGAGTTTTTTTTCTGCTGCTAATACAACTCCGTTCTTTGCCTTTATACCCAGAGCAGGGGAGCCCTGCTGTACGCGGTTCAGAGCGTATTCAATTTGCACCAGCTTTCCGCTGGGGGAGAAGGTCGTGAGGCTGAAGGAATACTGGCCTTCCGACATTGTTGATGATAAATAAAAATAAATAATAATTAGGAAAGAAAAAGGAAATATTTCGGGCAAAATTTACCCGAAAAAAAACGAAATATCAAGCACGATCAGCTCCGCTTTCAGCCACCCAACACACCTTCACGAGCGCAGTGAATGAGGTGTACGTACACCTCAAATTATTTTCAACTTCTGAAAGTGAAACGACTCCGTCACTTTTACTTTTGTTTGTTTTCTGTAGGTTAGAGGGGGGTGGTGCATGCGGAGGAGCCACCGCTGCATACGCTGTTTCCTCTCATGCTGTGAAAGCAGTTATCAGAATAAATTGAGTTCTTTGAGAACAATAAACATAAATAAATCATAAAAACACAAAACATAACAAACTTATTTCTACAGATATGCAACAGCGGCCACACGCACGCAGCCCCGTCTTTCCTTTTTGCTGCTGAAGCCGCTGTATATATATATGTATGCGTTGCAGCTGCATTTCAAGTTTTTTTTTGTGAAGATAAATTTCATATAAATAAATTATAAACAAAAAATATTATTTTAAACATAATTTATAAATTAAATAATATATTTTTCCTCTGAAATTCATGATCATACTTGCACACCACGATACAGCTTTCTGCGGTTTCCTGTTTTCCTAGACGCTTTCTGCTGAGACGCTGAGACAGCAGCAATTGAGTTAATACTATTAAATTATTCAATAAACTTTATAAATTTTTTAATTAAATATTTTTTATAAACTTTTTGTTGTATTTCCCCTGAATTTCACTGCGTCTAGACACCATTTCAGTGGCTAGCTAGGGCTTATGCTAAGATAGATATTTCAGCTCCTCTTGCAGCTGCACATATAATGTATACAATATAATCTATATCTCCACATAAAAAAAATTATAAATATAATATATAATATATGCATTTTATATATTTTATATATACATATATATAATATATGTATATGTAACACTAATGCCAGCAACATCAACAAAAGAGAGGGTCCTCTCTACCTAAGCATTTCCTCAAAACCCTAAACCCCAAACCCTAAACCCTAAACCCTAAAAGATATTGTTTCAGACAGCTGGATCGTTCGATCCCCAGCATGCAGGAAATGTTTTATTTGCTTTCATTTTAATATGTTTATAAACTAAGACTAAACGTAAAGATTATGCTGCCCTTTGTTTTTTTTTTTTTTTTTTTTTTTTTTTTTTTTTTTTTTTTTTTT